AACGCGAATGTAGACATAATGGAGCAAAACTCTGCTGACAATATTGTCAAGTCTGTAAACTTTTCTGTGAATTTTTTCTTATTTTAACTTGAGATAAAAAGATTATAAAATGGAAAGATCAAATTAAGGCTTGCAAGAGTGGGCATCTAGGGAGGAAGCAATTCCCTTTCATATGCTAAAAAGCCTGTTCATTTGACATAGTCAACCTCAGGTTAAGAGCTAGTCTATGTCCCACTTGGATGATGCCAATCCCACACCCCACCAGAGGAGCTGGCCTAGAGGAGCAGAGTTCTTAGCCTAGTCATTGTTCAAGGATCCTGCAGGAGAGAGACTTTTTTCTCCAAGTAGATTAAAGAGTAGCCATGGTTCTTCCTGTCCATTACAGCTTTAATGTTAAAGTTCATTAATGGAAAACTGCAATAAAAGGAACACAAGTATTTCTTTTGCTATCATTCTGCAAACAAGTCTTATATTAAAAGGTCACAAAGGATGTCCTTAAACAGGAAATCCTAAAAAAAAGGCAACAAACTTCCTTCCCTTCATACAAGGCACTTTAAACATTAAAAGCATAACCTCATGAAGAGAGTCACCTAAATATTCAAATAACTTCCAAATAAAATTATCTAAAGGCGATAACCATAGCCCAGATTACAGAGTTTAGCTTAAGGCATGATTTGACAGTTAGAAAAGATGAAGAACAAAAGGGAATCTCCTGCTCGTTGTTGCCACAGAAAGTGAACTCTTTCAAACTTCACAATATACTCGTTTGGAGCGTGAATGGTGTAATAACTAACAGAGGGGCATGTGGTAAACATTCTAAACTCTTTGAAGAAATGCAAATTCTGTCTAGTAATCTGAAGGTGTGATATGTTTTAACTCTCACAGTCTAACCAAAAGCAATGTGGAACTTGGCAGTAACTTTTCCACTCTGTTGATTGTGGACATCCCAGAACTCTACAGCCTGTGAGGATGATGAGGTGGAATGGGGATAATCACATATCCTTCATTTAATTTTTCTCTCCTTAAATACAAAAATGATCATGGTACTGCTTTCTTTTTTTTAATCTAAAGTTTATATTGAGTTTAACTGTTAATAGTCCTGTGTGGCTAAAGAGAAGTCTGTCCCAACCAGCTTACAAAGATTAAGTGATCTTTCATTTGTTATTACACCTACTTTTTGCAATCTGCTTCTTAGACTAATAGTTATCACAAAGCAATTTCTTAAGAAGAGTTTCTTCTCTCATTTAGATAGTTGTAGACCAACCCCTCTATACTGCTGTCTACCTCTAAATTACAACAACATCCTTTACCTGACCAAAATAATAGTCACCTGTAATATAAATCAAGACCAATTAATCAACCACTCAAGTCTTTATCTACTAAACCACATAATGGGTCTAATGCTAATCTTTAGATCTAATTTTCAAAGTACTAAAAAGAAAACAACCTGTTTACTGAAGAAGAGACAACTAATCTTTTTTCACTGTGCATTCCTATATAAAATATTTGGTCAGGTACCTTTAATATGTATATATTATTGCCAGGCGCAGTGGCTCATGTCTGTAATCCCAGCACTTTGGGAGGCAGAGGCAAGACGGTTGCCTAAGCCCACAGGTTCGAGACCAGTCTGGGCAATTTGGAGAGACCTCGTTTCTACAATAAATCAAAAAATTAGCTGGGTGTGGTGGTGTATGCCTGTAGTTGCAGCTACTTGGAAGACTGAAGAGGAAGAATCACCTGAGCCCAGCAGATTGAGGCTGCGGTAGCCATGTGCGTGCCACTGCACTCCAGATGGACAACTGGGTAAGACACTAACTTAAAAAAAAATTATATATTTGCTGTTTATAAACTATATGCATAAACTAATATGCATATATAATAAAATTTGCAAAATAGAGATTTTATAAGGTTGAGATAAAGAATTTTTGCTATTTTCTCCCCATACCTCAGACTGTACATTGTGTGCCCTTCATCAGAGACCACTAACATATTTTTTAAAAATATTCTTAAAATTATTTTAAAGATGTGGGGTACAATTCAGGGTTAGGTATACAAAAGGTCAGTATGCAGGTACCCTTGTTGATGAGGTATGCCCCTCCCCCCAGCAATTTCCCACTACTGTTAATCCCTTTCTCATAGTATTATGATAATCGTTCATGGTCCACGTATGAGTGAGAACATGTGGTACTCAGTTCTTTGTTTCTGTGATGGATCACTGAATATTATAGACTCTACGTCCATTCAAGTTGTTGCAAAGTTTATAATTTTGTCCTTCTTTATGGCTGCATGATATTCCATCATATATATGTACCACATTTTAAAAATCCAGTCCCCTTTCAATGGGCAGCATAGTTGGTTCCATATTTCTGCTATTGTGAATAATGCTGCGATACACATGAGTGTGCAGGTATCTTTTGTATAGAATGATTTGAGTCCCTCTGGGTATATTCCCAGAAGGGAGATTGTGGGGTAATATGGAATGTCGATTTTTAGATCTTTTAGGAATCGTCAAACTTTTTTCCACAGAGGCTGTACTAGTTTACACTCCCACCAACAGTGTAGAAGTGCTCCCTTTTCCCTCCATCCTCTCCAGCATCTGTTGTTTTTGAATTATTGATGATGGCCATCCTGACTGGAGTGTGGTTTTTTTGAGGGAATTGGATTCTCACTCCATCACTGGAGTGCAGTGGCATGCTCACGGCCACACCAGCGTCCTGCTGGGCTCCGGCGATCTTTCTGCATCAGCCTTCGAAATAACTGGAACTACTAAAGGCATGCACTACCACACCTGATTAATTTTTTTGATTATTGTAGAGATGAGGTCTCACCGTATTGCCCAGGCTGATCACAAATCCAAGGGCTCAGGAAATCCTCTCGCCTCAGTCTCCCAAAGTGCTAGGACTATAGGCTTGAGCCACAGCACCAGGCCTCAGTATGGTTTTAATTGTATTTCTTTGATGATTGGTGAGGCTAGCATTTTTTCATGTATCTGTTGGCTGCTTGCACATCTTCTTTTGAAAAGTGTCTATTCATATCTTTTGCCCACTTTTGAACAGGGCTTTTTTTTTTCCTTTCGTCATGTTTGAGTTCCTTGTAGATTCTAGATGTTAGGCTTTTGTCAGATATACGGTTGGCAGATATTTCTACCCATTCTGTGGGCTGTCTCACTGCTCTCTTGAAGGTTTCTATGGCTTTGCAGAAGCTTTTCAGTTTGATGAGGTTCCACTTGTCTATCTTATCTTTTATGGCATTGGCACTTGGGGTTTTGATCAGGAATTGGTTGCCAGTTTCAATTTTCATGAGGGTTTCTCCTGCATTTTCTAAGGTTCCTATAGTTTGGGGTTTTACATTTAGGTCTTTGATCCTTTTAGAGTTGATTTTTGTGTATGAGCACTGACCTATTCTAAGTAACCTTTTGCTAACACACATTAAGTTCAAGGCTGTTTTTGTTCCAACTTTGAATGGATAGATTGGGTGGGAAGGGGTTGGTAATATCTTACACTTAGGGTCTCACTCTATAGCTCCTACGAAATGGCACCACTGTAACAATTATTTACTGACCATCTATGCCTGAAGGCCCATGTGTGGTCTGTCTGTGAGATCCTTGGGAAAGCTCTTCATAGGAGAAGAATCACAGAGCACATGATAGAGGCATGAATCCAACTTTGGAAGAACCTAGACATAAAGGCTCCTTGACCTGCTGCCTGAATATGGTGGAAGTGCTAACAGTAAATCCTGCCCTGAGAGCTAAGATTGGAAGGAAAGAAGAAAGACTAAAGTATACTGTGCACCTGAAGCGTTGAACCTCAAATTAAAGGGCTCTGAATATGGTTTCAAGTTTCTGGGTAGAGTGGACAGACAGCTAGCTCTCTGACTTCCCGCTTGCTAATCAGAACAGTCTGACTCACTCCAGAGCACAGCTCTTTTCTGCCTCAGTGAAGCAGAGAAATCCACTCTACCTATTGGAGCTTGGGGATTGGACACAGGAGGGATAAGACCATGCCAGGACTATGTCACACATCCCTGCCTCATAGCTGGTCACTGGAGGTGAGTAAAATCAGGTTCCTTATAGCTTAGTGCCTGGATGCTACTTTGAAACTACACAAAGATGGGCCTGTTTGAGGTTCAACATCAAGCTATGAGTATTTAAAGGAGCTTAGGTTTCACAGTAAATTTGTACATGAAAATATCTGTGCTATTTCTGTTGGGGAGTTACAAGGACTTTTTAAGTTATGAAAAATACTCTTGACTATGACCTTTAGAAAAACAATATAATTATTGTGACTCTTCTAAATATAATCCTTGAGATATTTTAAATGACAGGCAGCATTATTAGAAAAGGCAAATATTGTTTAAAATAAATTAAGCTATAGGTTAAGGGAACAATGGACATGCTGAGTTCTCTTTAGAGAGCTATAAGATTCATGACTTCATGTTTAATTAAAATGTCACAGAAACACAAAGATGTTTTTGGAACTCGTGCATCTTAAAATAATAATTTCAGCATATCCACGACTTTAGGATGAATAAGAGAAAGTAATTTTCTAAAACTACTAGGATACTGTAATAGTCAAGTTAAAACTCTAATTTTCTATACTCAAACTTCTTTCCTCCTCCAGATTCTATCATGTAAACAGTATTTTTTTAAACAAAACCAAGACATAGACAAATTAGTCACATAGTACAAACTATACAATGATCTACATTTTGTTTCATGTCTTAATAACATTCTTCAAATATTAAGATGTATGAAAATTTGTCAGTTTTGTAGTCCACTCTCTTGGATCTAGCTGCCAGCATCAACTCAGTCAATCTGACCCCCAAGATCATCACTCTGACCTCTACTCACACTCTACTCCGAATACTAAGCACATAATACATCACTTCACAATTGATGGAAGAAATCAGAGTACCTGGGAAGCACACCAAGTTAGAACCAGTTGCTAACTTCTGTGAAGAATTCAGATAAGGTTGAATTCACATAAGAATGATGTACATACCTGTACCACAGGATCTTTTGGTTGGTGTGATTAACGAGACATGAGCTGTGTCTGTGCATGGCCCACCTAGAAACAGAAAGGCAGGCACATGAGTCAGGACATATCGTCTACATGCCCACAGGTGCTATCTCGAGTAAAGAGAAACCTACAAGGGAAAAGGTCAACCTAAAAATATACACAAGGAAGAATGGAAGGAAAGATGGTGGCAGTGGTGAGTTAATTCTAAGGACCTAATTTAGATCAGCAATTTAGTCAATAAAGATCCATAGCCTTTCTACACTATAGCATACTTTTAATAAAAAAGTCAAGTCTCACATAATTTAACAAGTTAAAGAATAAAATTTTAATAAGAATTCAGATCTAGAGCCGGGCTCGGTGGCTCAGCCTGTCATGCTGCGCCTTTGGGAGGCTGAGGTGAGTGGATTGCCTGAGCCCGCGGGTTCGAGACCCGCCTGGGCAGGTGAGACCTCATCTCTACAATAAATCAAAAAAATCAGCCGGGTGTGGTAGCACATGCCTGTAATTCCGGCTACTTGGAAGGCTGAGGCGGAAGGATTGCCGGAGCCCAGCAGGCCAAGGATGCGGTGGCTGGGAGTGGCCACTGCACTCCAGCCTGGGCAACAGAGTGAGACTCCAACTCAAAAAAAAAAAGAAAGAATTCAGATCTAGGTAAGAGGAAGTTACCTATAAGTTTGGGAAGATGAGTTCTTCCACAGAGCAATAAGCAGCAATACTCTCTCTTAATGCTGGTCTCAGTGGTCAACCTACCTTTGAATTTATTGAAAAACTACCCTTATTTAAAGGGGGAAACTTCCTAAGAAACAATAAACTGCTTGTCAGAAGAAATAAGGATCATTTAAATATATAAGGAAAGCATTGATGACTAAAGAAAAATATCTAGTCATAAGAAGTATGATGTGAAGAGGGTCTTTATGGAATCCTGTTGGGCCCAGAGATTGGATGCATAGGCGTAATTCAAGAACATGCATAAGATTTAGTTCATCAGTGGGTGATGACCTGAAAATAAGGTAATTTCATTCTGTAGAATCAGGACCATCGACATATTCTAAAGTTGACATTAATACATATCCCAAAAGCTGACATGCCCTACCTTCTGAAATAGGAAGCTACTATACAAATATAAAGGTCAGTGGTTCTTGATATGTCCTGGGAGGGGCGGTGGTGATGATCATGAGTGAACAGAACACATAGACAAATATTACACACGGATTTTGATAAGGCTCCCAGGTAAGTGGCACAGTGTATATCACCTATGATTTCAGTATCACTGAAGTTACTCACTGAAAAAGAAGGAAAGATGAAAGATCTCTGAGATCTGTTATTAGAATTTAAGCCACTAAGTCTCATGGGTTTAGAGATTTGGAGATCCCACCAAAGAAGTGCACCGTTAGCCCACTCTTTCCTATACCAAGGTCATAATGGCAGTACATGAAGTCCCCAACATATCAATGAGTACCGTTCTAACAGTGCAACTGTAAATCCAATTTAAGTCCAACGAAGCTAGCCTAAGTACCAAACTAACCAGATCAGCTTTATAGTAATGTGTATATTTAACCGACAATACTGACAACAGGTGGAGAGAAGTAACACACTTAAAATAATGCAGGTGTGCATCCTTAAAGTTCATAACTTCAAAGTTTGTATGTAGGGGACTAACTATAAACTTTAGTGAGTGTAAGACAACACTAGGGAAAATTTTAAAAGGGAGGAAAAGTCAAGTAAGTGCATTGCTAACATCAAAGAAACCTTAGCAAATACCTACTATGTGCCATCACAGAGAGTTTATAATCTTGTTAAGAAGACAATATTTATGTACATAAATAAAAAACAATGCATGACAGCAATAAATAGCTTGATGGAAAGTAGTCAAGTGCCAAAGAATATGTTAATAAATGCTGTACATTGTAACCAGGAAGAAGAACATTCATCACTGGCTGCCATCACTTGGAAATGCAAGAATTTGAAAATGAGGCAAGAATAAATTGGAGAGTCACAAGTTGAGGCAAGAATAAATTGGAGAGTCACAAGTTAGACCAGAGAACAGGGTACTTCAACTGAAATTTTTTCTACCAATGTCAAATTCATCAGAAAAAGTTTAACATATTGAAATTACATAGGCTCAGATGGACAACTGTGACATGAAAATAGGCAATATAAAGAGACCATTAGCCATATGCAAACCTATCACAGAACCCACCATCTTCAAGGATCCTCTGGGCATTGGCTTTTGTAACTCCCTAAAATGCTGTAACTTCTGCCCCCATGTAAGGTTTTTTGTTATTGCTGTTGTTAATTGAAGCAGATATAATTCTTATATCTGAAAAAGTATAGGCTTTTTTAAAAGACTCAGTTTAAGTCCAGCAACTACTCCCTACTTGCTGAGAAATTTTGGATAAATGACCCTCAGTTTCTTCAACAGAAAAAAAAAAATGGGGAAGAGTAAAATTTGCCAGAAGTTACACACAAAGAACTATCTGCACAAAAAGCTTCATAAACTATAAACACCAGTTTATGTTTCCAAGGATCAAGAAACACACTGTTACCTACTCCTGGGTCCTATGTGGACAGTGAACATTTAATAATGCTCATCAAATGACTGCTGAAACTGTTTAAGTAATGCACATTTTTGTAAAATATTTTTATTGAGGGATAACATAAAAAAATGAAAATATCAGAATTGAAAGGGTAATGCCAAAATAGAATTATTGAATGGAATAATCTTAAGCTAGAGTGCAGTCATTTTGACACTGCCTAGTTCTATCATATTCTCTTAACATTCTCAGAAGTAGCTACTGATAATTGTTTTCCAACCCCCACTCCATTTGGACCATAAGGTCTAAATATTGCAACATTCCCAACATCCAGAAAGTTCTGGGGATCACTTTAAAAATATAGATTCCCAGGCCCTGACTCTGGAAATTTTAATGCAACAGGTTGGAGAAGGCATAGGAGAAAATTAGTGTATCTTTCTAAACCAGCTGAACACATTGTAAATATCCCCCCTCATGTAAATATTAACAGTTCAGTTCATTCCAATTTCTGATAATATTTTCTTTAACCACAACTCAATGTATGTCCAGGATTACCAAGTTCCTATAAAATAGTGAGCTGCAGAAACCATAAGAGTCAATAATGGTTTAAATACCAAAATACCTGTTTTAGAGGACAGAAAATAATCCATCTGTAAAATTACAAGGGAGAAATTGTCAAATTAAAACCTTTAAAGAAATTTGGTTGGGACTCATGAATTAACATCCCATGTTTACAAATGTCCTAGATGATTGTCAAATAAGAGAATCTTCACAGCATCTTTAGGGTGAGAGTTCATTCATTCAAAATTTTCCAGTGAATTAATTTCTGTAGGTTTTGGCAAATACGCAAATAACTTTAAGGCTACCTGGTATAACTCAACATGCATCATCATGAAAGCATTCTCCAGAGAGCTTGTTAAACTAACAACCCAATCCAATGTATTCACCACATTAAAGTACAAATAGAACCATAGCTGAGCCAAGACAAATTGACAGCAAAAGCAACTGGCAGTGATAATATATCCCAGGTTTGATAATTGGGCAATATTATAAACAGAGAGCTTAGAATTAAGTTTGGTCTGGCAGACTACAACCTATGAAGCACTTTAAAATCCAGAACAGAAGCCTATCAGCACCACATATATATTCTACACTAATTGCACTGAGATCCAAAACACCCATACTCTCAAATAAAAAAAAAGAGTCCAACATCTACCCTTACATAATTACAGATAACTTCAAATCAACTCTGTTAGAATAAATGAGGGAAATTAAGGGTCACTCAAAGGAAATCTTTTTAGGGTTCTGTTCACAATAAAAATATAACATGGGTGTCATGGTTACAGCAAACAAAATAGTTTTGAGAGTTGATTGTAAAGGGTCAAAGTCAGGGCATCTGCTCCATCAAAAGAATAGAGTTGCTTTTTTTTCCTGGACTTGCTAATTTCTGAGAGAGAGGCTGGCATATGTCCCTATAAATCACTGTAAACTCTATTCTGATTGTTAGTCCTTGTAGCCTACATCAGTGGCAAATAGTATAAAAAATGAGTTTTGGGTTTTTTAATATTTTAAAAAATATAGTTTCTTGCTTAACATGATAGATTCTGTGGGGATTCTGAACCAGATGATATAAAGATTAACCAATCTGAAGTAACTTTTAGCCAATCATAATGCGTGCTTTTTGCTTTGTTTTGCTAAAGCAAATTAAGTAAATGAATTTTTTTCAAGTTTCTTCATTATCTGAAGATCTTTAATAAAAGACTAGGATTTTGCATTTGATGTTAGATTCAGATAACTTTTTCCTTAAGAAATATCAAGTTTCAACAATTTAAACTTTGGAATATGCAAGTGAATAAACTGTGGAAGCTGTAGCTTGTGACTAGAGAAGACTGACTATTCCATCTTTTCTTCTAGGGATGTTTCTATTCTTGTATCAAGGGTATAATGTATAATGCAGCACTATGGATCGCATTTGCAATTCCACATGAAAGGCATGAAATTCCATTCTTCAGCTGTAGTCCCAACAAAGCAAAAATCTTTACAGCATTTACAATAGGAAAGTGGATTTTCATGGAGGAAACAGTACTAATTCATCCCTGTAAATGTTAAAGACTTGAGTCAAGCCTGCATACTTACTTCACTATAACCAGCAAAAACGAGACTAAATAAAGATACCCCATTCACAATCCACACTCACAATTCAAACAGTGGTAGCAGAAATCTTAAAAATTTTCAGCCTCCTATAGTTACTGAACATGTCAAAACACCCTGAGCTACTTACTCAGACAGCAGTCAATCCCAGAGACAAGTTGAAGACTATGACTCAAGAAGAAAATAGAGAACACTAGATTACAGGACTCTTCCATTTAGTCTAGCAATCTCTTAACACAGTCAAAATCCAAGGCTGAGTAAACACTGATAAAACAGTATTTCTCCTTAACCTTGAAATAGACATCAACAATCTACTCTGAAAGATTTGTTAAAATAGCTGTGATGACTGGCTATTTTTGGTTC